TTRGTATCTTATGTTCTCTTCCTCTCTCCTCYTTAGATTAATTTATTTTATGTTATTTTCATCTTCCCATTGTTTTTCCCTTTTCATACTCCTCCAAACAGGACCAYTCCGTTTGACTCATTGGTCTTCCCGAACTGTTCCTCAGGAGGAAAMTCAGTTTGTTCATATCCCTTATGTCCAATAATTTGTCTTGCCATTGCTCACAGGTAGGGGTGAACTCTTCTTTCCAATATTTTGCAAAAGTTATTCGTGCGGCGGTTGTTATATATGTGAAGAGCACCTCTTCGTTATTATTTAGGTTTAACTCTTTGTCTGTGAACCCCAGTAGGAAATATTTAGGGTTTCGTGGAATCTTTTTTTAAAGAATTTTTTGGGTTTCTTCCTGTATGATCTGCCAGTACTTTGTAGTTTCCGGACAGCTCCACCACATGTGGTAGTAGCTCCCTGTGGCTCTGTGCTAATTTATCCACGAAGCCCAACCTGAAGTTCATCTGCACTGTGGGATGGGGCTCCATGGGTAAACTATGGCTGAATTGGAATATGCTGCCGAAACAAACCCTATGTGATTGACGTCAAAAGTGCGCTGTCCCATCACAGTGTCATAATACATCTTCCCAGTCACCATTGCTCCTGCTGTAGTATCTGGTAGGGGGAGAGCAAAAGCATTCCCTTCCTCCTTTGCTCCTACCCAGGTATTGTATTTTGCTGCCATTAACTACTATGAGGAGAGAAAGGGACAAGAAGAAGAGCTGTCTCTGCCTGAGAAGTGGCCACACTAGTGTGATCATATGTACTGAGTGGCAGCGGTTTCTGTGCCCTTTCCTGCCATCTCCTTTCAGCTTGGTGCTGGTGGGTGAACTAACCTTGGCACTTAATCCCGGGTGACAAGAGTGGCATCAACTTCTGCTTTTCATCTGCTTCCCCCATGATCTCCATGGCCAGTCTGCCACTCATAGTAATTACTGACTGCAAACGAACAGACACTGCATTCTCACTTGTCTCATAGTGTATTTGTGCGATTTAGACAAGTATAAGAAGAACGAGAAGGGTGGTTGTGGGGAGAAAATAGATTTAAAATGCTGCTGCTACATGAAACCTACAAACAACTACTGAGAAACAAAGAGGAGTGGTTTTAAAATGCTAAGCAGCACCAAGTGAGATTATTTGTGTATGAAGACAAAACACATATACTTGCCAATTTCTCCAAAGAAATGATACAAAATTAGAGCAAGGTTTGCTTTCTGTAACTTCTACATGATTTCTTCCCCTTGCCGTGATAACTAGAGGTTTTTGTGTAAAAAGAAATGTGTCAAATTTGGTTCCCTTGGACCAAAATAAATTTGAAGGTGCCTGAATGGATGACTGAAGAGTAAGTATGTCAATTTCCTTCTAGCTGTGTTCCTTTTCCCATTGTTAGGGTCCATTGAGCCTAGTAGCTGCTGGCTAGGGAGGGCAAACAAGAATGAAAAATGGGAAAATGCATAGTTCCTTATTTGCAGCTCAGTATGTAATGGCATCAGAAATAAAATAACAGATTTCCCACATCCTCTCTTTCCAATTTCTGCATACTCTCTCCCATGTCCTTAAGGGTTTAATCTTAGCCGTGTACACAGCTTTCCCTTCTTTTAAAGCATATCTGGTGTGAATGGACATTGGGCACACTCAGTAACTTGCTTAGACACTCAGGGGCAACCTAAGATGCATCTATACAACAGAATTAATGCAGTTTGACACTACTTTAACTACCATGGCTCAGAACTGTGGAATCCTGGGATTTGTAGTTTGGTGAGACACCAGTGCTCTTTGGGAGCTCTTTTTAAAATTACAACTTCCATGATTCCATAGCATTGAGCCATATCAGTTGAGGTGGTGTCAAACTGTGTTAATTCTAGAGTGTAGATGCACCCCTAGTTATTGTAGGAGTGCAGTTAACTAACAATGACTGAAAACTGTTTCCAAACTAGGGACACAGAAGTTGAATTTAATTCTCTCTCTGTGATGATTTTGACAAAAACATGTTTGGAGCTCCCATTTGCATTTCAAGGGAAAACTCCATTGGTCACCATGCATTCATACTAAGGTTGTAAAATCTCAGTGCTTTCCTTCTTACATGAAAGGATGAATAATTATCATACCTTTCTCCCTCCTGTGGGAGAGAATGAATATTTCTGCATGCCACTCTCCTTATAAATAATTATCCCAAAATATTCTGGAAGATTTTTCTGTGCCAGACGATGTGGCCTTTTTGCACACAAAAATATGTTTTGTGCAGAAACTTTGTGCCTCCCTGTTCTCACACCGAAGTATCTATCATCACAGAAAATCTGCTGTAACCCATTGGAAGATTGGGGGGAAAATTGTGCAGAGGTTTTGCTACCTATCGTTCCTCCAGATGAGATTTCCAGAATGATGGGAAATCCCTTTTTTGACTGGAAAATGATAATATTCTTTTCATCCCTAGTTCACACAATCGATATAACATCTAGTTTGTCTGTAGCTGATGGAGCAAGATCATAGCAGAGATCCGTGAGATGCTCAAAGAATGAAAGCTGTCAAAATGTTTGCTGTCTGGCTTCTATAAAAGAGAGAAACTGTGTATTTTGCTGTGAGTTTGAGTAGGACTGAAACCTCACACATGCCCTTCAGACAGGACTGGGTTTACAGTGCATTCATGCAATTAACATTTCATTTAGCTTGGCTTTCAGTGTCAGGAAATTCTGCCAGAAAGATGGGCCCCTCCAACAGCGGACTCAGGTTAAGTGTTAACTGCCTTCCAGCCGACTTCAACTTATGGCAACCCTATGAATGAGAGAGCTCTAGGTCACCCTTTCATCAACAGCTCAGGTGTATGAGATTCAGAGCTGTGCCTTACTTGATGGAGTCTATCCACTTGTAATGCAACCTTTCTTGTTTTCCTCCTGCCTTCTGCCTTACTAAACATTATTGTGTCTATTCTAGTGAATTATGTTTTCTCATGATATGGCGGAAGTGTGACATCTTGGCTTCTGTTGGGAGTTCAGGTTTGATTTCCACTATTTTATTCATTATTCTAAAAGAAAATATTATATAATCCATTTTTTTCAAGTAACAAAACAACAGCAAACAGTGCCAGATAGAAATGCGGGAAAATGAAGGAAAACAGGACTGAACTCTGCCCTTCTGATTTTTTTCTTTTTCCCTTGCCAGCCTTTGCACTTTCAGCAGTGCCTCAGATGTTAATGTGCATGAGTGGGTTGAGAAGATGGCAATTTAGCCTCCTGAGCTCTAGAAGCTTATCACCTCTCATTTGTAGTAGACAGAGGCCAGAAAGAGTTGTCTGAGGTGAGACAACCCTTGGTGAGAAAGAAATGTAGATGAAGGACATTTCATATGGCTTTTTGCAACCTGTTTTTTAGTTTTAATTTTGAAATATCCATAGAATATGTGTGTTGATTTTCCTTCTCTTGTCCAGTAGTAAGGCTTTTCGTTTTCTTACTCCAGCTATCATCCTGAACACATGTGTCAAACTCAAGGAGCATGGGCTTAATCCAGCCTGCCAGATCATTTTATGTGGCCCTCCAAATGCCCTGTATTCCTCTTTATTAGACATCATGACTAGAGCTGATGGGACTTGTGATAACAGTAACATCTGGAAGGCTGCAGTTTGTTGTGTTTAGTCAGGAGAGTGTAGTTTGGATTTAGATACAAGGCTTACGGATATGAAGCCTGACTTTAAAATGTGCATTATCCTTTCATCAACTTCAGAGCCCAAGTGCTGTTGGACTGCAGCTCCCATTATCCCCAGTCTGCATGGTGGATAATCAAAAGTGATGGGAGTTGTTGGTCAATAATATCTGGGAACCCAAACTGGGTAAAAACTAAATAACATTCACCAGTATGTAAAATAATTACAGTTGGCCCTCTGTATCTATGGATTTTTCCATCCATGGATTCAATGGTCCTTTGAAGGCAACTGTAAGACTGATGTGGACCTTGATAAAAATGAGTTTGACACCTCTGATCCAGAATGCCATACTTTGACTCCCAGCTGGGATTCTGAGTTACTGTTTAACAGCTACTCCTTCAGAAATGTGAGACAGATCCATATCATGAATTATGAGATGTCCTATACTCTACATTCCCAATCCTTGCTAGATATAACAGAGGCATCCTGGTATGCTACAAAAGTGTTGGACTCAAGTAAGGAAGCCATACATTTGTTTGTCGATCCACATAATATTTGTGTAGCAGGTTTAAGTTTTTGTTTACTTCATTCATTTTTGGGATGTTAAAGTGGGAGGAAGAATCCTGCATGCTCCTCTAAAGAAAAAAAAATCAGAATACCCATGTAAAAATTAGGTGGAGCCCCTATGGAAAGAAGAACCACATTAATGGTTTGTTGTAGGTTTTTTCGGGCTGTATGGCCATGGTCTAGAGGCATTCTCTCCTGACATTTCGCCTGCACTTTGGCAAGCATCCTCAGAGGTAGTGAGGTACCCCCGAGGATGCTTGCCAAAGTGCAGGCAAAACGTCAGGAGAGAATGCCTCTAGACCATGGGCATACAGCCCGAAAAAACCTACAACAAACCAGTGATTCCGGCCATGAAAGCCTTCGACAATACATTAATGTTCTGAACTAACATGATCTCATATTCCTCTACCCCATAGTTATCAACTATGGTGTTCCCATGAAATCAAACCCAGATGACATGAGAGAAATCCCTTCTTCCATTTCAAGTGGATATTTTTCTTGCTCTGGAGATCTTATTATTACAATGATTGCCACCATCATCAACTGTCACCCTCATTCCTTCAGCATTGAATGACATCCAGCATTCAGAGGTCACAAGATATGACACTTCTAGTTATCAGAGTCCAGCCTTTACTATTATTCAGGACTCCACATTGCCGAGCATTAGGTTTAGGCCTGCCTTATCAGAATGGAAGAGCACTTGCTGAACCCCTTCCCCATAGATATCAGGAGTCACTTCTATTGCATAGCAGACTGAAGATATAGTTACCATCCAGTCCCAGAGCTCTCAGGACAGCCTGTTGTTGATCTTTTTTGTTTACTTGTTTTTTGGACGCCTCTCCTACAGGAATTGATCCAGCAGCCTCTGCTTAGCTTGCTTGTCAGATTCGATGGAATCAGCCACAAGTGAGAACCGCATGGCTGCGGGCCAGCCTGTCCCACTTTGCTGCATCAAATCACCTCAGTGGCAAGCACTGGCTAGCATTAACTGTTTCCAGCCAGACCGAAGCCTGTCCTGCTCTGGTAATGCAATGCCTGCTGTGTAGCAAATCCATTATCCTAGCGCTTACTTGAATTAGCCCTGTAGTATAAAATATAATGTATGGCCATTTCCAGCATTTAGCCTCATTAATAAAGACAAGGAATATGAACCAGTGTGGAGTTGTGCAGGCAAGGGTAAGTTTGTTTGTAGAGCTTGTAACTGATGGCCAAAGAACCAAGTCAACCAAGAACCATGGTTCCTAGCTGTCTCCCACCTACTTTCCACCAGGGAAGTATTGAGTACTGAGGCTGCTGGGATGGGCATGGAGAAAAACCTCCTCCCACTGATCTGTGACAGTAGTAGCCAACCAAGTGACATCTAGATATCTTGAACTTCGACTTTCAAGCCAATGATCAGTAATGGTGGGGACATCTAAAGGGCACAAAATAGCTTATTTCTGAGGAATAGGATGAATACTGTTGCTGGAGACTATTGTTTCAGTAAGAAGACAGAAAATAAAAATGCCCCTTCTCTTCTTAGCACTATTTAAAGTGTCCCATGATGGACCCCATTGCATCGCTGCCTAGCCTTTTTAAGGGCCCTCACCTCCTGGCTGCCTGGCAGCAGCTACATCTGAGTGGGGAGTCACCTTGCAGCAGCAACAACTGTGCAGGGAGCCCCCATCATCCCCACTGCCTTGCCTCCTTGCTGCCCAGCACCTGTAACATCTGTTGATGTGTGAGGGTTACTTACCTGGATTAGCTAAACTGCTCTCTGAGGCTTTTCCATCAATTCCTTACTGATTGTGTTGGGCAGCCTTGGTGGCTCTGGTGCCCATCACAAACTTTCCTTATAATTGCACTGCCTACAAGATCGGTAATTGAAAACTACACAAACTGGCAAATGATAGCCATGTATAAATATGTGGGAGGAGGTCATAGGGAGGAAGGAGCAAACTAGGACGTGGAACTTCAAACTACAAGAAAGGAGATTCCATCTGAACATTAGGAAGAACTTCCAGACTGTGAGAGCTGTTCAGCAGTGGAACTCTCTGCCCCGGACTGTGGTGGAGGCTCCTTCTTTGGAAGCTTTTAAACAGAGGCTGGATGGCCATCTGTTGGGGGTGCTTTGAATGCAATTTTCCTGCTTTTTGGCAGGGGTTGGACTGGATGGCCCATGAGGTCGTTTCCAACTCTATGATTCTATGATTATGTCTGACGATTTTAATGATTTTAATTTACAGTTATATGTTATTGTTTTAAGATATGTAATGTATTGTTTTATTCGTATGTGAGGCATTGATTTTTTGCCAATTATTATGCTGTACACAGCTTTGAGTTACCCTAGGGGTGAGAAAAGTGGTATAGGCATGCAATAAATAAAAATAATAATAAATAAATGAATGAATGAATACTGGTTGCTAATCATGCTGTTCATGACCAAGGCCACCAAAGGAAGGGGAAACTACTAAACTTCCACTCCAGTATTTTCTCTATTGTATTTTCCCCCAGTGACCACCCTTCTTTCCTTAGGGTCCATCTCTGAGCCCAATTCAAAGTGCTGGTTTTGACCTATAAAACTCTATACAGTTCTGGTCCAGCTTACTTGTCCGAATGCACCCACCCCAACGTCCCACCTCATAATCTAAGATCATCTGGGGAGCTCCTGCTCACGCTCCCATCAACAGCAAAAATGCGTGTGCCATATTTGGTTCAATTCCATCATTGGTGGATTTCAGAATGCTCTTTGATTATAGATGAACTATACATCCCAGTAACTGCAACTTGCATATGTCAAGGTCTATTTCCCCCCAAGAGTGCCTCAAGAGCACCCCTGGGCAAAATCAACTATACTGCAAATGCTTTCTTTGCGTAATGGGTTGAGCCGCCCCTGTGTCCGGGATTCCTTTTCTGAGGCCACAGCAACGCGTGGCCAGGGTACAGCTAGAAATAATAATATAAATGTTTACTCTACTAATCCCGGCTCTTCATGTACAGAGGATCTGACATCCCCCCACCTCATATTAATGTGTTTGTTCACTCCACTCCCAGGTTGTCACTCTTAGACTGCATGTCCTGTTAAAACAGAGAGGCTCAGATTAACTGAGCAATGAGCCAATTCACCGCGTTCTACACAAACACTGCAATACCTGATTCCCCAAAGCAGTCATTGATCTGATAGTCTACATTTGCAATAGCAGGAGTCACAAACAGTTTGATTCCTCCAAGTAGGACAACAGCATAGTGTAACGGTACAGTACCTGCAAAACACGCCACATTTCCCTGCCTTGCTGACATCTGCTTAAAAGTGGAACAAAAAAGATATATAGCAAGGGAGATGTTATCACATTTTGACAAGCTCTCCCCTCTCCCCCCCACCCCATCTTTGCAGCTGTCATCTCCTTGCTAAATTTCACTTTGTTGTTTTAAGTGCCTTGGCAACTTGGCCAAGAGGGATGGTCCCTCATCAGGTTTTTGCAGTAATAAGTGGAAATGAAGCCTGAACCATCACTGCATGAGAAGCACTGGCATCAAACGCAATTCTAACTCAATCTCTTTAGTGCGAGAAGTATCAAATTCCTCTCCTGGGAGGCAGAAGGGGGGCCATGCAGGCAGCACAGAGAGCAGGGAGGGAGAAGGAGTGTGTGTGATGGAAACTTGCAATATAATGTCGAAGAGCCTGGTACTCATTTAAAGTGGTTGTAATCAGATGGAAATATCCCCAGGGGGGAAGCAGAGAGGAGCTTGTAAAAAAATATTCTGGGAAAGGAGGGGTGGGGGAGCTGAGCAAAATTAATTTTTCATTCTCTGGTGTGAAGGATGCTTCCACTTTTATTAGCGCAGTTGTTCTCAAATCTGCAGGAAAAAAAATGCACTCACATCCGGCTTCATAGAAGAAGCCAGCTGTCAGGCTGAAATGGAAAGGAAGGTGCTTGCATCCGTGGTGTAATTAACAATCACTGCCTCTCACTGTGGAACTCGAGTGCTTTCCTCGGCAGACGTGCTCCTGTGGATTTATGTTTATTATCATGGGTTTCTGCTTCCAGCAACAGCCATTTACACCTGAGAACCTCCAGGGTAGACCTGCCTCATGGGTGTTCCCCTTGCTAATTTTCAGATGGTCGAAGCAACAAGATCAGGTATCTGGGAGGCTGATGTCTGCAAAGTCAGCCCAGATACGCATAGCTTTTCCTATCCTCAGAGTATTAGACTAACAGACACAGAAATGCACAGGCTGATTAAATCAGGTCACTCCACACATTATAACAGCTGATTCTGAGATTCCATAAAGGGTTATGCTGCTGGCATTCCAGTGACAAAACACCACTTCTGGTTCCTGTGTGGTGACAAACTTATGTGGTGGTTACTGGATGTGGTTCCATTCATTCTGTCATAAGGAAAACATATAAGTTCTGTTGGGATGGGACACTGGGAATTTCTACTATTTTTCTGAAATGTGTACATGTTAGTATGTCTCAGATTTAGGAATATTACTCGAGGATGATGGTCCTCCATGTGGAGTGTCTTGCCGGTGGGTCCGTAGGTAGCTATGGAGCCCTATTCTTTATCTGCATGTTCTCCCACAGTGAGGACATTGGTTTCCAGGTGGAAGGCAGTCCTAGTCAGGGTTGGCTTGATGCACCTTCCTCTTGGCACATTTTTCCCTTTTGCCCTCCATTCAAATTCAGTTGACCTAAAATCCTGACTCGACTTATTCACAGGTTATATTATTATTATTATTATTTACTAGCCATCCCCCGCCATGTGTTGCTGTGGCCGAGTCTGTGTATATGTGTTTTGTGTTTGTATATATGTGTAAATGTGTATATTTGTGTATATGTGCATATATGTGGTTTTGCGCATGTGTTGTAATGTATTTTAAACAGAAGCTGGATGGCCATCTGTCAGGGGTGATTTGAATGCAACATTCCTGCTTCTTGGTAGGGGGTTGGACTGGATGGCCCATGAGGTCTCTTCCAACTCTTTGATTCTATGATTCTATGATTCTATTTTTATTTTTTGGCTTTTTAGTCTCTTTCGCTGTGTTTTTCAGTGGTTTTATGAGTGATGGTCACTCCTTGGCCTGGTATGTGTATTGTGTCCAAATCTGGTGTCAATTCATCCAGCAGTTTTTGAGTTATGTTAATCCTACAAACAAACATTACATTTTTATTTATATAGATTTATTTAAAACTTTTGTATCCCAATCTTCTCTACCTCTGTAGAAGGACTCAGACCGGCTAACAGCAAGTTTTCAATGCTCACAAACAACCTTTAAAACATCATATATAAACAATAAGTTAAAAATATATATCAGATAAAAAGCATACTAAAACATTCACCAGGATAAAAACAACGTCCAACTCAGTCCACACATTGTGGTCAATACCTTAGTCAATTACCGATCTCAGCCATCACTCTACAGATGCCTTGTTCCACATCCAAGACTTCACTTGCTTCCTAAAGGTCAGGAGGGAGGGAGCAGATATAACTTCATTCAGGAGAGAGTTCCATAGCCGGGGAGCCACCACAGAAAAGGCCCTGTCTCTCGTCCCCACCAAACGTGACTGTGAAGGTGGCGGGACCGAGAGCAGGGCCTCTCTGGAAGATCTTAATGCTCTTGATGGTTCATAGGGGAGAATACAATTGAACAGGTAAATGCTAGAAATGTCATTGTATTCCATCCCAAGTGCCCAAAATGGTGAAGAGCACAGGACTAATACAGTAAGCCCCTATTATAGAATCATAGAGTTGGAAGAGATCTTACTTACTTAAATGATTCCTTGTAGAGCGAGAATGATGATCCTCCAAGTGGAGTGTCTTGGCGGTGGGTCTATAGGTGGCTGTGGAGCCCTATTCTTGATCTGCATATTCTCCCACAATGAGGGCATCAGTTTCCAGGTGGAAGGTGGTCCTGGTCAGGATTGGCTTGATGCACCTTCCTCTTGGCACATTTTCCCCTTTTGCCCTCCATTCGTACCTCTTCAAATTCAGTCGACCC